GCAACAAGTAGGAGGTCGCAGTACTAGGTGGACTTTTAATGTTGAGCTTCAGGAAGATGAAGGTAAAGTTATTCGAGTGCAAGATTTCTGACATATATCCATGGAAGCCAGTGTAATGATTAGGAATAGATTACTTGCAACACACCTGAAAAATAGTTCCATCGCTATGGTTAATAATCACTAGTCTAGTGGGAGAGTAAAGATCAGTGAAGAGATTGTAAGTGACATAGGTTTCATTTCCAGGATTAGGTAAGCTCAGGTGCTATGGAAACGGCACTTTCCCCACTCTCGAGGGTGTGACCGGAGCTTAGGTGTAGGGGAACCACATTAAAGATTCTGGAAGAGGCAGGTTGTAGCAGAACACTGATGACCTCCTACACCGAGTTGCAGTTTCGACAGTTTCTATTGGCACATGAAGCCACAGTAGAGAAGTAACTTCTAGAATGGGTGGGGAATGTCCTGTCTGCTGGCAGTGTACGGCTGAGTAATCATCTGGCCTGGCCCTGCCAAGGCCACTGTGGGAAGGACTCGAAATTCAATAAATCTAGGAACTTTATTCATAGCTAATTTTTAAGTTGATAATTTTGTATGGCCTGCGAATGATGTTATAAATGTCCAAATGGCCCTTGGCAGCAAAAAGGTTCCCCGCCCCTGTTGTAGCAGGAGAACAGTCATGGTGTGGTGGGCTGGAGGCAAGGATGCCAGTTAGACTCCTGGTTCAGGTAGTTCAGAGGTGATGGGACCCGAGCAGTGACTGTAAAGAATAACCAGTCGGCAGGAGGTTATCTGGAGAGCATGAGTTACTCCAGACCCATGGGGGATCAGCTGAAATAGCTAGTGTTTGGGGGATGGAGGTAGGTTGCTGTGGCAGAGGAAAGCTGATCACGTGTGAGGCACAAAGATAGTTTTTCAACCATCTTTATTTTGGTGTTCCGGGTATGAATAAATTAGGCCACTGTATTGAAGAGGTGCATGAAGAAACTTTTGATTATGGGGATGGTTTCATGAGTACATACGTAATGGCAGAACTGATAAAATTTCATACAGTGTATTGTACTTTAGTAGTAATACTCCAAGGGTTAAAAAAACCCCTAGGTGATTAGCTAGTATTATTGATCTTAGTTATTTTTAAGTTTTCTTGAGATATAATTCACATACCATACAATTCCCCCATTTAAAGTGTACAAATCCATGGTTCTTAGTATATTCATAGATGTGTGCAAGCATCACCACAGTCCATTTTAGAACAGTTTCCTTACCTCGAAAGAAACCTTTAGCTATCACCCTTCCGCTCTCACCAGCCCTGTGAAGCCACTAATTGACTTTCTGTTTCTGTCGAGTTTCCTGTTCGGGTCATTTCATATGAATGGAATCCTGTAATATATGGTCTTTTGTGACTGACTTCTTTCACTTAATGTTTTTAAGATTCATCTATGTTGTAGCATATATCAGTATTTCATTCCTTTATTTTTTAATTTATCTTTATTGTTGAAAGTATTACAGATGTCCCCCCTCTTTCCCCCATTGACCCTCTCCACCCGGTCCCGGTATTTCATTCCTTTTTATGGCTAAATAATATTCCATTGTGTGGCTGTACCACATTCTGTTTGTTCCTCAGTTGACGGGCAATTAGATTGTTTCCACTTTGGGCTGTCATGAATGATCTAATTCTTTACCACTATATTAAGGAAAGTTGATAATCTTTACATTTAGTCATGTGATTCTTTCTTTGCTATTTATACATTTGGATGAACTTTTTTCTTTTAAAAGTGCTGGACATTTGAGATTTTTAAGTTTTAAATATATAAAAGAGGGGGATTCCACCAAGACATTTCCCCTGAGGCTTTGTTTTGGTAGCTTCTTTTCCTTCCAGTTGGAGTTAAAATTTACATAGCCATAGAGAAATGTTTTCTTTCTGGCTTGAGTAAAATTCGTTTAGGAATGAGAATTTCGGTTTGTTAAGAGATTGTGGAAATGTTGGAAATGTGCAGTGGAAGTATTTTGGTTTTTGTTTGTTTTTACCATTAAAACAAGGCTGTTTAAAAGAAACATTTGTGGTTGAGCTAGATGGGAGAAAAGACAAGACATTCTAGGAACTGAGAGGCGGCAAGGACCTAGGGGTGGGTGGTTTATGCGACAGATAACAGGAGCGTTTGTCTTTTCTTCCTACTTAAGGCAGGCTGAGTCAAAAGGGCAGAACCTATTAAGAAGAAGTTGGCATTTACTTGGGGAGCTCAGTGGGCTGGAGCCGCAGGATACAATTCTTCACACAGCACTTCAGATGCCTTCCCAGTAGGTTAAAGGAAAACTCTACTTGGCACTGCTCACTCATTTGGGGGTTGGAAACCCTTCTGGGATGTGTGAATTAGATTGGGCTCTTGACAGTCTCTCCCCTGTCTCTCCGTTGTGACTAACCCCAAAACTTGTGCATAAAGTTTTGAGTGAAGACCTCAAAGACCCATTGAACTCCATCTCCGGTGTCGAGGTACAAGCCCCTAGGTTGTCTCGTTAACTTGTCCTCAACTAGGTACCAAGATAGATGCTGGACCTACTTTTATTTTAAGGATTATTGTTTGTTTGTTTGTTTTAGAGACAGGATTATTGAAGTATAATTTCCATACAGTGAAACTCACCATTTTTAGTGTATAGGATTATAGTTTTGAAATTTTTCCCCAGAGATTTTACACACGATAGTTGATCATCGGTAGCATTTATTATTACTTAGGAATAGAATGTTTAGCTCTATAAGCAATTTTGTTTTGAACATATTAAACTTTATACGGTATATGCAGTGAAAATTTCCTCGATTTTTTTAAGTTAAAATTTTTCTTGTATCATTTATTTATATGCCTGTGTGTATGGATATATGTATATATTTACATATAGATATATGTATGTATTTGTGCGTGCATATATGTAAATAAATGTGTATATAATTTATACACATTTGGAGAACATTAGTTTCTTTAGCATTATTTTTGCAGGTTTAGTCAACATTGTTTATAAATTTCTCTATAGTAGTAAAAGTTAAAGAGGTATAAGCTAAACAATGTGGAGAGTAATGTATTTAATTACTGAACAAACAGCTTTTAGGAAGAATTAAGAATGATGTTTATTTAAAGTAATGTATTAAATTGGCAGTTACCCCCTCCCTACTCCCTACACCTCTCCTCCATCAGCACCATCTCCAAGGCCCCTGCACACCCCTTCCCCTCAAGACACCCAAGTCTCTCTAAAGCCCTACTATTAGAGTGGCTTTCATTGAAAAGTTAAATTTTAAATGGTAGGTGAAACTTCCCTGCTGCTTTAATTACTTAAGATGGAATGAATAAAAGTACTTTGTTAGAGTTCTATTAATTTACATAAAAAACATTTTTGGCATTGAAAAACTTTTGTTTTAAAAATATAAGTGGGTTACTTTTTTTTAGATTTTTAAGGCATTGCGTCTTGCATATTACCTCGTTGGGTGGCATTGTAAGAGGTTTCCTATTTCTTTGCCTTTATAAAATATGTCTGTGATCAGTAGTACGTGCATGTCAAATTCACCTCTGAAACAGGTAACACTATTGAAAAGAGTGCCGTTCCTAATAAGCTAGACTAGACTTTCCCCCTGAGAAGTATTTACTTATGAACTATGTAAATGTCTTTCTGTGCCGGTACATTCTAGGTGCCAGGGACAGTACAGTGAACAAAAAAAATTCCTGTTCACGTGGATCGTTCATCCTCGTGGCTGAGACAGACAAATGAAGTGATGTGTAGTCAGTTAAATGCTCTGAATGAAAAATTAAGCTTTATGTCTTAACAGCAGCTGTAGAGACAAAGATTAGTGTGCTTCTATTAATAGGCCCCATTCAAAGGAAATTCACCCTGTCTAAACTTCACTATGAAAAAAATGCAATGATTCTGCTCACAAATAGGTTTTAACCTTATTTAAAATGGAAAAAAGTAAATTAAAAGCTCATTCTCAGACATACCTGGCTGTAGATTTCAAATTGGAATCAGTAGACAATATAAAAACCTGAAAGATACCACATAAGATAAACATTCCTTTAGAAGAAATTGCTTAAAGTATAGTAAGAAATTACCATAAACATTTATTTGGTGTGTTTCTCAATGGTTTACTGTGTTCTGGGGGCCAGAAAGCATTCTCAAGGGAATCTCCTTCGAATTTTGCAATTAAATTAATGAATAATCGGTTCCCTATAAATTAATAGAAACTTAATTTTGTTTTACTTTTCAAGAAAAACTTTTTATAGTTCTTGGAAGCTAAGGACATTTGGGTTTGGTTCATACTGATGAGACGGACACCCGCAGTTCATAATATGATAAAATTTAGTTACTGTTTTCATGGCCCCTCATTAGAGTAACATGCACAGTGTAATAATGCAGCTACAGGAAAGGTGGTAAAAACAGACAGCTTCAAGTTGTACGCTTTCCAGCCTAGAATAGATTTAGAAATGTTCACTGCTTTTTAAAATATTTTTTCCTAATATTGATATGCCACTCAGCTTCGCCTCTAGTTAGACTCCAGGTAGAATGTCAGCTGTGCTCTCCCTTCATTTTGCTAGCCTGCCTTGCGAGTCGTCTGTTCCGATACACCCCGTAGAGCTATAGAAGGAAGTTCTTGAAAAGGAACATCTTAAAGATGAAACTCAGGCCCTTGTCGCATGACTTTGTATACAGGGAGGAAGTGCGTTGGTGTATGTATGGAAAATATACATATTTCCTTCGCCTCCCGCTCGGCAACCGGGCGGCTGGCTCTCGGCCCTGCCGAGCTGCTCAGCTCTCGGTTTCCATCCACAGGAAAGGAGCTTCGAGCCAGGGACCTTGGGAGAGGCAGGAGAGAGGCCCCCGCTCTACTATAGTCCCAAACCCCAGTTAATTTTTTTTTTTTTTGCCTCTTTTCCATCACAGTTCTTTGTGATTTTCAAACATATTTCTGCCCTTGCTGATACCTTGGGAAACTGAAAATTTGTAATTTTCTCTCCCCCTCCTGATAGGTGCTGGATAGTTTACTAGTCCAGTATGGAGTGGTGGAAAGCTGTGAGCAAGGTACATGTCTCCTCAATTGCTTTCAAATTTATAAAAGGAGGGGAGTAAAAAGAAAACTAACTTTTTTATTCTCCTTTTTCCCTCCCTCTAGTGAACACTGACTCGGAAACTGCAGTCGTAAATGTCACCTATTCCAGTAAGGACCAAGCCAGACAGTAAGCAGTTTGAAACTTTTTATCTATATGTAACAAGTAGGTTAAGTATAGTACTTATATTTTGGCCTAGTGGATAGCAGAAGTAAACTTTATTTTGCCAGGTCTGACCCTGCAGTTTTTTTAACATTTAAACGTATATTAAGAATTTGCATCAGTTATACGTTTTATTACCCTTTCAATATATCTTTAATGCCAGTTATTGGTGGATATACGAAGCTGAATTATGTTCTATTTGCAAAAAGCTGTGGACCTGGGTATCATCAAATTACATTAAGAATTTTTTTCCTTATTGTTGTGATACGCATATTATTGCTGTTGTGTTCAAAGTTGGTAAGTTGGTCATGTGTTAAACTAACAACAGTGTTAAATGCTGTTTTCTTGCTCCTTGATTTTTCTAATGATTACTGTTGTCATTTAGGAGTGTGCAGACATTGAACCCATGTAATCTGCTTTTAGATTGGTGGGGGAAAAATATTCCAATGCAATGTGAAGGCTGAACTTTACTGGTCAAAACATCTCCCTTAGGAAAAGACACTTCTCTAGGCTTGGGAGTGGTCTAAGGAACTGATTGAGCACTAGAGAGAGAATGAGGGTCCCACAAATGATGTGCTTGCCGTGTGTGCTCAGATGGCAAACAGTGGCACGCGAGGTGCCCAGCAGCGCAGACCGAGTGTGGGCAGACCCGGGCCCCTTTGCCTCCAGACAGCGCAGGCCGGAGCGGCGCGGGCCCCGAGCCCTCGGGGAGAGGGGGGCCGGCTGCGGGGGCCTGTGAAGGAAGGCAGGGCTGGGAAGCAGGTGGGAATTTGCACTGCACAAATGGAACTTTAATTTTTAAATTGGTCATACACACGCGGTTCAGAAATTTAAAGGTCCGAAGACAAATATGGTGCAGGTCTCCCTCCAGGTAGTTTCCTTGGAGATGAGCACATGGAAGAACAGATATATGTGTATTTTTTTCCTCCTCTGCACACAAATGGTACCATAACATTTGCGTGTTTTGTACATAGAAATCTTTATAGCTGCATAGAATCTGATTGAATATAGATGACTTAGTTCCAAATTGGATGCTTGGTGTATTTTGAGTCTCTTGCAGTTATGAACAAGGCTGTAGGGCAGTGATTGTCAACCTTTTCCATCTCATGGCACACAAACTAATTACTCAAATTCTGCAGTACACACAAAAAACCCCACCATTATATTTTTTGCTGATTTGACACAAAAAAAAAGGTATAATTTTGACTCATTCACATTGGATGGCTATTGTAGTGCTGGCTGGTGTCATTTTTTTATTTGACAATCTCAGGGAAAAGAGGCCATTGCCCCTGACTAAATACTCAGGTATTGCATGTTTTAAAAACTTGCGGCATGTAGATTAAAAATCGCTGCTGTCGTGAATCTCTCTTTGCACGTCATTTCGTATGTGTATGAGTATAGATGCAGATTAAATTCTTAGAAGTAAATCTGAGTCAAGATACTTGCGCCCTTTAAATTTCTGTCAGCTCTTGGCAAGTTGTCTTTGCTAGAATTTGAACGAGTTTAAATTCCCATCAGCACCGTGAGCATTTGTCCTTACTCCCTCACACAGGGCTTTATCAGGCTTTGCTGATCTTATGGGTGAAAAGTAGCATCTAATCATTTCACTTCATTTCCCCTTTTTTTTCCTCCTAAAAAATGAGTGCGGCTTCTGAGATTCACTTTTAATGTTTTAATATGACACTTTTAAGATGTTTTAAAAAACTATTTTTCCTTTTGTTTGTATCTTTCATATTTTAAAAATTAACAGTTTGTATGAGGTTTTTGGACATCTTAGGAATTGTCATGTGAGTGGTAAAACTGATTTTTTTACAACCTTGATTCTTCAACCGTCTTGTGTAAGAGGGAAGAACCGAAAAAATGCCACATTTTATACCCCAGATCGATTGGGGGTTAAGAGTGAGGGCAGTGAGAATGCAGAGGCCCTGCTTGTCTTATGGGCCTTAAAAGATCTATAGTAAGAACTGGTACAGCCAACTCTCTGCTAAATGGGAAACATGATAAACCCAAGGATATTTGGAGGTTGTCAGAGATCTGTCCTTGTTGTCTTGTTTGAAAATGTATGTGAGGATAGCTAGCTAAAGGGAAAATGCTTAATTTAAGTTATTTAGTCTTATGGAGAATGTTTGCTGGAGACATAACCCACATAGTTTTGGACTTGAGTAGGAACTGGGTGACATTTAGCAGCCCCTCTGCTCCAAGCACCGAGAGCACAAACAGGAAGGGTGGACTGCTTAGTCAAGGCAGAATTACTGCTGAAAACAGTCCTAACCCTCCAGCAAACAGAATGTGGAGACATTTTATTTTAGTTCTACAAGTGTTAGAGATTGGTAGGGTCCTGATTCCAAGGACAGAGGGAAAGACTTAGGAATTTGTAATTTCGGGAATTAGGTAGCCTAAACAAATAAATTGGGCATTTCAGTGAGGGAAATGGTCTTCACATCTCTTATTCTAATAGTTGATCAGTTATCATTTAATGAATAGCAACTCTAGTGACCAAGACTTGCCAATGAATAAAGTCAAAATTCCTGTCCTCAGGGATGTGCCTCCCGGTGGTGAAGGAGTATTTGGGGAGGGATCACCTGATTTCAATTACTGCCCAAGTTGAGTTTCCTTATAAGAATGTTGGGTTTTCTCTCCCCCAAAAATTCCAAAGAGCAAAGAGAATTAGAAAATAATTCAGAGAAAGTTAATAGATTTGAAGAATGGAAAAAATCAGTCTTATGATACAGTGTTATGAAAATTTTCGAGTAAGTTTAAAAAAAGAGACGGGGAGTACATTCTCATTAAAAAAAGAGACGGGGGGTAACCAGTTTTATGTGAGAGGCATTGGATGTAGTGGAGAAAGCATGGCCTCTGACTGTAACCTTGACCTCTCTGAGCTTCAGTTTTCTCAGCTACAAAATGGGGATTGACAAGAAACAAATACGTTCATTCATATAGGCACACATTTGTAGAAAAACAAGCTTATCAAGTGGCCGGGCACAGGGGCACCCAGGAAATAGTAACTCTTGCCCGACCCATTGGATCTGGGCTGCTGCTAGAGCAGCTTGAGGGGGAATGCTGGTCCCTCGGGGACATGCTCCACTGAGCCCTGCAGGCTTGTTCTCTGGGCTCTGCACAGCCGTCTCCTGCCCACACTAATGTGGAGCGATTGCTCCATGCCCTTTCCTGGCAGCCCACTCACAGCTTACCTCTTCAGGTCCTGAGGGCCGAGCTGCTTCTCAGTTGAGGTCTTTGTTTTCCATAGCATCTGATACTTGGGAGCCGGTGTATCTGGGATGTGCTTGTGCAGGTGTAGGTAGAACAGGGAGGTTTAGAAGATGCATTCCAGAGTCCAGTTCCATGGAACGGACTCTGTGCCACCACTTTTGGCTGTGACTTTGGTCAAATTAATCTTAATTCACACCCACCTGTAAAATGGGAATAATTATAGTTCTTAGTTTATGAGGCTGTCGAGAGAACCTGCGTAGTGCTTCCAAGACACTTACCATAATACCAGCAAGGACTCTAAAGTTAGCAGCCATTAAGCATTTCTCACAGTTTTCATTGCTGTTGATGATACCCTGTTCTTCAGTATATTTCATTTCAGATAGTGACTGGCCACTGGTCCTCAGGAGCTAGGGACCTAGTTTAAAGGCTTTTGTGGCTGCCTCTTTTTGTTACTTAAAGCTCTATAAGCACCACTTTTAAGAAGATTGATTGCTCAGTAAGGCTGTCTCCAAGACAGAATTTAACATGGAAATTCCTGCCACCTTGTGGCTAAGAAAAGTAAAAGGTTAAGAGTAATATATTACTAGGAAATACATACTTGTTTTAACTTTGTCTCAGATTATTAATTCATTAAAATAATGAGTAAAAATAATAAAGAAAAATAAATCATTAAAAACAGAAGTATGTATTTAGTATCGCCGGTTCCTTGGAGCAAGAGAGGCCTGGGCCTCTGGACACCTGTTTCCTTTGGCGATGCTCAGATACACTGTCAGGGATGGACATCGCTCACTGGAGGAATTGTAATGTGTGGCAAGGAATGTTTAGAATTCGCAGGCATTTAGTTTTTATACTTTTTTCCCCTTAGGCTTATTTCTTATACTTATTTTTTGTTAGGGAATCAGAATATAGTTTATTTATATTTTGAAGCTATCATTGAGGACCCTCCTATATCAGTTTGAAGACCCTTATCAGGCACATGCTGCTGTGGTTAGAAGTGTTTCAAACAACTTGGCTGGTGGCTAAGGCGAGGCAAGTCACCCTTAAACTTTAAAAATATGTAAATAGAAGATTTATTCTGGAAAACTAAATAACAGATAAAGCGGTGAGACAAAGGAATTTCTTGCCATTCAGAGATAACTGTGTTAAATTTTCCTTCAAGTTTTGTAGACTTTGTCCCATGTGTCATAACTTTGAAAATTACAAAGCTCATTCTGTGGAGTTTTGTGGGTTGACTTTCCATTAACTATATTTATACTGTTGGTAATCTCTACATAGTATTTCATCCCTACCGCAGTCTACGTATCCAGCCCTCTACTGTGCATCTAGGTTGCTTGCAGGTGTGTGTGCGCGCTCATGTGCTTTTAGAATCAGTTTAATTGATGAAGCCCTTTGTAGGTAAATCTTTGGCTTTGTCCCTAATTGTTTCCTTAAGATGCATCCCTGCAGGGGTGTCGCCAGGCTTTCAGCAGTTATTACCGAGTTGTATGTCTCAACCTCTTATTCTTGGTACAGGCAGAAAACTGAATTGTATGACTTTTCAGTAATGGTTAAGACTCACTTTATTAGAACCTGTGCTACATACAGCAGTGAGGTCCTGAAGAAGAAACGGGACATTTTAGACATAGACTTTCAGAGTTGAAAGGGATCACAGATCTAATCTCTGCATTTTGTCGGTGAGGAACCTAGCACCAAATAAAAAAATGACCTTGTTTTGAATGACTATCTAATTGGTTGAAACTTATGCAGTTCCAACTTTCTATAAAAAATATACATCATAAATATTAATAAGATTTCTCAGTGGTTGTCTTCCTTCAGAAATAAGCAACCTATTTAATGCCCTTAATCCCCATTTCCCTTAAGGAAAAAGAGAAGGAGAGAGCAGGGAGTCACAGGTTAACTTAAGGCCCTGTCGTCAGGATGTTGGTAAAGTAACTTGTGCCGTGTGCCTGCTGTCACCCTCTGAAGCTTATGAAAAGAGTGCCCTCTGACGTAGAAATCACACGGGAACATCCCAAGATATATTGG